ATCTCTTCAAGTGTTTTCTCAGACTCTTTCTTTTCCTCTTCTTCTTCTGGGACCCCCTATAATGAGAATGTTGGTGCATTTTGTGTTGTCCCAGAAGTCTCTGAGATTGTCTTCAATTCTTTTCATTCTTTTTTTCTTTATTCTGCTCCTCAGCCATTATTTCCACTATTTTGTTTTCCAGCTCACTTATTCGTTCTTCTGCCTCAGTTATTCTGTTATTGATTCTTTCTAGTGTATTTTTCGTTTCAGTTATTATGTTGTTCATCTCTGATTATTTGTTCTTTAGTTCTTCTAGATCTTTGTTAAACATTTCTTGTATTTTCTCAATCTGTGCCTCCATTCTATTTCCGAGATTCTGGATCATCTTTACTATCATTACTCTGAATTCTTGTTCAGGTAGACTGCTTATTTCCTCTTCATTTATTTGGTCTTGTAGGTTTTTGCCTTGCTCCTTCATCTGTGACATATTTTTTTGCCATCTCATTTTTTTTTTTTTTTTTTTATGAGTTGGATGGTATTCCTCTCTTACTTGTTGTTTGGCCTGAGGCTTCCAACACTGAGCTTTGTAGGCTACTGTGTAGAGCTGGGTCTTGGTGCTGAGATGAAGAACTCTGTAGGACCTCACTCCAATGAATATTCCCTGGGGTCTGAGGTTCTCTGTTAGTCCATTGGTTCAGACTCAGAGCTCCCACTGCAGGAGCTCTGGCCCACTCGTGGGTTCATGAACCAAGATCCTGTAAGCCACCTGGGGTGGCAAAAAAAAAAAAAGAAAAAAGAAAAGAACCCCACAATAACAAAGTAAAAAATTAGACTAGGAAACTAATAGATATGTTAGGAATATAAAAATAAAAATATAGATGAATCAACAACCAGAAGGTACAACAGTACCACAATAGTGAAAAAGAGGAGGAGGGGGGAAAAAAAAAAAAGGCTGGAAAAGGCCTTGGCTGTGGAGGGCAGGGTCTAAGCAAGGGTGAGGTTTGGGTGGTGGGTGGGGCAAATGCTCAGGACCACTGACAGGGCTGGAAAAGGCCCTGGGGGCTCTTGGGGGGTGGGACTTAGGCTCAAGGAACAGAAGGGGCCCAGGTGTGCCCCACACCCCTACTCTCAGAGGGCAGGGGACCTCACCTGGGAGCCCAGGCAGGCTTTCTGGGCTCAAACGCCCTCTGCTCCTCTCCCGCTCCTCCAAGAGGGCCCCTCCCGCCTGCCTCTCCTGATCTCCCCAGCCTCCCTCCTATGCCCCTAAGGACCCACGTGGCCTGGAGCACGGTTTGGAGGGCAAGGGGTTGGCCTGGGAGCTCAGCATGCTCCCTGTGCCCGAGTGGGTGAGGCAATCGCCCGCTGCTCCTCCGGTCTGGGATGGCCCCTCCCGCCTGCCTCTCCTGATCTCCCCAGCCTCAGGGTCACTGATCCTGTCTGGCCTCCCCTTCACCTCCCCCTCTCAGTCCCCTTACATCCTACCGGTTCACTTTGGGGTTCCTCCCGTCTCCTTGGGTGTCAGAGTCCCCTACCAGTGGCCAGTAGGTACCACAGTTGTGGGGAAATGCTAACTCTGCATCTTCCCATGCTGCCATCTTGACTCTGCCTCCATGTTTATTTATTAATAGAAAATATCCATGCAAGAGAAATTATACATGAGTTTATGCTTAAAAGAACAGATTTTTTTCTAGTGTCAAACTATAAGTTTGTAACAGATATAGTTAAGGAATTTAATTTGTGATCTTTTAACTCCAAAGTCAATGTTAATTTTCAAATAAGTCATGAAAATTACCTAAATTTTAAATTGAAATTTAGATTTAAAATTTAAAAATGCTGGGTTACGAAATGTAAACTTCACAAGTCACACGTTTATGCTTGTTATCTACTATACGTATACCCATTTGTAGCATCATATATTTTCAATAGTTTACCAGTTTTTGTATATAATAATATCGGTATGTCTGTTTAATCACCCTGCAGCACATGAGGGTGATTCTCATTTACCCAGAGACTGCTCATTATTCTGCGTAATTCTGAATACAATTTCACTACCCATGCAGAAGCCAATGCAAGAAGTGTAGAAGGCATTACACTTGTGATGGGAATAACAGATAAATTTCTAATTTTAGGTTGTAAAAACAATGTCTAAAATGTTTACTGGGCATTAGGTCAATTTTTAAGAATGGAAGAGGTGTGAAAAAATGTAAGGGAATGTCTTAAAAAGTTAATCCCAAGGAATGTCTAAAACACATTATCATCTCAGAATAAATCTCGCCCTAGGTAGTCCAACAAATCTTTCAGAGTTTGATAACAAAGATATTAGGTAGGCTGTTTATATTTTGTTTGGGGAAAGCACTTATGGAACACAGAAAGACTGTTCATATTTTGGAAGAGGCAACAGAGTGTGTAAGATCATAGATGCTATCACAGGTCCACTAGAGGTACTGTCATTCTTTTCTTTTATAATGAACTACAACTTGTTTGCTAACTGAACACTTCAGTGATTATTCTGCAACCAACCCACTCAGAAAGGCAAGAATACTCTTTACTTAGATGCTTTAGATGTCAAGAGAAATTAAAAGAGCACTTCTGCTGTAAAAAAAAAAAAAAAAAAAAAAAAAAAACC